TTTTTAATTGGCGATTCATTCTGAATTTCTTGGGGCAAAAGGCCTCCCCAACTTCCTTTCTCCGCAAGTCTGCCAAGTTCATTTAGTCACCTGAAGCACAGTGAGCCTCTGATTAGCTCCAGATTGCCTTCATAACAGCCCCCATTGTCACACATCTGGGTGCCACTCAGCCATGCATGGTGGAAGCAGATGCTTCAAGCGTGGCTCTTGGTGCTGTCTTGTCCCAAAGGCTTGGGCCCCAATTGGTATTGAACCTTTACACATACTAATTTCACAAGCTCACACCTGCTGAAATTAACTATGAAATACTATACAGAGAACTGCTTGCTGTGAAATCCTCTTTTGAACAGCGACAATTCTAATCTGTAGGCAGCTTGATGCCCAGTACAGGTCTTCACCAACAATAAAAACTTTGAATATCTCTGGATGGCTTAGGCACTGAACCAAAGACAGCCCAGGTGGGCACTATTCTTCTCCCAATTTAACTTCACCCTTTCATACCATCCAGGAACCAGAAATGCGAAAGCAGATGCCCGATCACATAAACGGGAATATTACCAGGGAAATGAAGAGCCCAACTGGAATCACCCCATATCTCTTGAAGACCTGTAAATTCATTAACACCTGACCTCCCTGGACATGCCTGCAGACAGCCACCTCTGCTGAGAAGACTCCCAGAGAAGGGAATGGCCAAAGTGCAACAATCCATATGGAACAGGGTGACACACATCACAGTTACACATTCAATTACATTTATGCCATGACACCTTGCTCACAGGCCACTTTAGTCACCTCAAGACTTTTTTCACTCTTGCTCATTTCTTCTGGTGTCCTGGTATGAGTACTGAAGTCTGAGACTGTGTAGACTCCTGTATTACATGTGTTTGTACTAAGATGCCTCATGGGAAACCCCTTGACATCCTAAAACCTCTGGAGACTCTGGATCTCAATCACTTTGGACTTTGTTTTGGAACTCCCAGGCTCCAAGGGTCACACTGTAGTCCGAATGCTCATAGACCAACTAACTAAGGTGGCCCACTTCATTCCCTGCAGCCATCTGCTTTTGGATGAAGCAGCAGCCCAGCTGCTGGTGGTGCACATCATCCACCTCCAGAGGCTTCCAGACCAAATCATCTTTGATCGAGAGCCTCAATTTGTCTCTTGCTTCTGGCAGGAGACACTCTGCCTAATGCATCCGCCTCTACCATATATCACAGCCATATCGACAGGCATTTGGTGAGGGTCAATCAAGTACTGGTGCTTTATTAACTTCCATCAAGACGACTGAGTTTCCCTGATACAATAAAACAAATTCTCTTAAAAATAATACCTATCATCTACACAGGACAGAGCTCCTTCTTTTCAAATTATGGATATCATCCCCATTTCCACACTGCATTATCTGGAGGCTGTCAATTGGGTCCAGAATTCACTATATCCAAGATACTTTTCCTCCAGAGTCACCTGGAAGAGGCTAAAAAGGCCTACAAGTGATTCTCGGACCAGCAACCCCAAATGTCAGGCATTTGCTGTGAGCCAGAAGGTCTGGTTTTCCAAAGAACACCTTGGGACAAGCAAGCCTTCTCAGAAGTTAGACCATCAGTTCCTCAGTCCCTTCCAAATCTACCAGCTGGTGAACCCAGTAGTGTTTTAAGTTGCAACTTCAGTAGTCCCACTTCATCTATCCAGTATTCCATACATCACACCTCAAGCCCTATATAGAGAATCCCTTTCTGGATCAGCTTCAACAAACCCCTCCACCAGTCGAGATTCAGGGGCACAAGATTATATAGTACACGGAATCCTTGAATCCCATCTGAGGCAAGGTTGCCTTCAGTATCTCACAGTCCCAAGGAAAGATCCTGTGTGCCTATATCCATGTCCCCAAGCTAGTGGAAAAGCTGATATCATCCCAGCAAGCCAGGCTCAGTGCCACCCTGGAGGAGTGCACAGGCAGTGTAAGGATCAAAGGGTGCAGGTTCCTGGTTTCTGTTGGTCTAGAAACTGGAACTGTTGGGCCCTAGGTCTCTGATACTGCCTCGCTGCCACCAAGGGAGACAGACAAAGGAGTACCTCACTAATCTTGGAAGGTCAGGCCGCAGAGGAAGTCCTATTGGAACACCTATTGGAAAGCCAGGAGTACCTGATTGGCTTGCACCCGCTTAAGCTAAGATGTGATCTGGGTGGTTTCTCTGAGCAACCACACAGACTCCCGGTTGCTGCTGCATTGGACCCTGTTCTTTGCCTGTCTCCTGTGTTCTGTAACCAATGCTGTTCCTGCTATGCTCCTGTCCTGTTCCTGCCTCACTCCTGCCCCAACTCCCTGTTCCTGCTTTACTCCTGCTCCATGCCTGATCCTTGTCTGGTCTTTGGTTCCTGCCCCTATGCCTTGCTCCTGACCATCAGCTCCAATTACACCTCTGATCCTTGGCTAAACTCCTGATTCCGGTTTCTGCTCTGACCATTAGGAACCAGAATGTAGACAGGCTGGCCTAACACTGTCATGCTATTAAATTAGTACATTTTGGGTGCTATTGCAATCTAAATTATGATAAGCGCCGTACACATATAGGAAAATTGTGTCCCTACCACAAAGAACTCAATAATTAATAGTAAAGCATACTAATTGTTTAACAAAGTCTTTGTGTAATACTGGTACTAATATTCAGGCTTGGAGAAACAAAACAGAATGCATATTGGCAGAATGAACTTTTTGTTCGGCTGCTGACTTATGATTTATTATTTGTTGAGTGCCAACAGTATTCTTAGTGACATATAAATAGATAAACAAAAGATTGTTTCTTCTGCTTTCAATGGAACTTAGCAGAATAGCAGTTGGCATGAAGGACCAGCAGTGAAGTGGTTAAACTACTTGCAGTGCTGAAACATGAATATGCTTAGCAAATGCATTTCCATCTTCAAAAATGAAAAGCCAACATAAATACACAAATAATGTTTACATAATGGGGAATGGATGGGAATAACTATCAACTGGTAATTCTTCCAAACAAAGAAAGCTTTTCTGTGACTCAGTAATCCTCTTATGCACCAGCTATACATAATTGATACTTCTCAATTATACACCTGCAAAAGCAGCATATGATTATCCCTTGTTTAGCCAGTTTTGAATCCAGCATGCCAGCTTTCCATATTTTCCATGACTCCACACCTTATATTTTGCTAATGCCTTTGATAGGGAACTACATGTACTCTAATTATGGCATACAGTGCCTGTCTGCTCTATTTCCCCCCCTGCTTTGTCTAGCTGAGCAGCATGGTATCAGCTAAAATTCCATTACATTATTCAGGTATGACCTTCCTTTTCTGAAATCAGATTTACCCTCCCTTAATCTGTAATTTTCCATTTCCTCCCCTATGGGTCTTGTTCAGAGCTCTGATCTCTCTTTCTTTGAGCTACCACATTTACATCAGATTGAGCCCTTTCAGTTTCACGAAGGCAAAGGAGATAGTTACATTATAAACAACAAAATTGGCAGCATAATTTAACCCCTTGCTTCACTCTAGTCAATCAACAATCAAAAAGTGACTTGCGCATGGTAGGTTTCAGAGTAGCAGCCGTGTTAGTCTGTATTCGCAAAAAGAACAGGAGGACTTGTGGCACCTTAGAGACTAACCAATTTATTTGAGCATAAGCTTTCGTGAGCTACAGCTCATGATAGTGTGCTTTGCATCTGCAAGTAGCTTGGAATTTCTGAGCAGCTCTGTGGGGGGCACAAGAAAATGTCTGCCTCCTCCTGAGGTGCGGTGCACTGCTCAGTGGGAAACATGTATGGATACACAGTCATGGGCAATAAATAACTGTAAAACAATAACAAGTATTTAGATAGCATCTTGTGCAGTAAATGGCTTCCAAGGAACTTCCAATGGCATAAAACATCTTCACCTCCTACTGATCTCTAGGTCCGTTGCCTGAATGCGGGGGGAGGGAGGGGTCGGGGGGAGTATTTTCTTCATCTGTGAATACCCACAGACGACTGATAGCCTTTGGTTAATTAACCTAGAATAATGTTTATCTGACCCATGGGCCAGGGACTTTGCTTTGGAGCTCTACAGATGTGCAGAAAGCCCTCCATAGCCAAATCCTCCCATCAAATACATACACACACACACACACACACACACACCTCTCTGAAGTCAATGGGAGTTGTGATCACACATGTGAGGGCATTTTGAGGACATCTGTTTTGCACAAGGGTGTTGTCCGTGATTGTGTTGGGGTCAACACTTTTGTTATATGTTGGTGCAGAACCAGCAGAATGAGACTTGCATCCCCACTGACAGGTGGTGTTTCCACTGATGCACAGCTGTGCTGCCTCTCCATAACCAACTGCTCAACAGAACAAGTCCTACTGCATTGCCTTCACTTATTTGTGAAGTGCCAGACCACTGGAACATTGCAGGTGGTAGGCATCATTTGTAAACTAAGGCTGGTTACTAGCTGACATCAGTGGTGCAGCTTATGTTTCCACCCAGAGCAGTAAAGTACATGATTTTATGTAATTGATGTCACTGGATGATTGCACTGAAGTCCATGACAAAACTCCTATTATCTTCAAAAGGCCAAGATTTCACCCACTGTCTATATTTTTCCTTTTGGAGCACTGATACCTTTAAACCACTCACACTGTTACCTCCACACTTAAGTATGTGTTCTCTTCTGAGAGGAAGGAGAGTGGTAAAATGCACAATAGATCTTGTACTTTTTCTCCCACACACCTTTCTTTCTGTCACACTTCTATATGTCAAAGGGGAAAAACCAGAATCTAAAAGTAATGTCATGTCCTGTAGTGGTGCTAGACATAAATACCACTGTTCTCTATGAGGCCTTTACAAACAATAACAAAAGTGTGTGGAGGGGGGAAGAGGGATGCATTCAAAGTGAGCCAACTACTTCCCCTCCTCCGCCTACAATGCTTTAACCATTTCATGAGTCTCTCTTCAGTTGTCAGGATCAGCACCCCCCGTGCAAATGAACTCACCAGAGATCAGGTCCCAGAACAGGGTTCCCAAGTCTGTGCTCCAAAAGGATTTGAGGTCCTTATAGGTGGGATTGCAGAGCAAAGCTTCTCACTGCTGCTGATAGAGAAAAGGAAATGAGAAACTGAAAAAAATGGATGAAAGAGTCAGGGCCTATCATTGTTTTATTTCCCCTGCTAGTTCAGACAAGGTATTCCGTGGAGCTGAGACAGTCATTGGAAAAAAGTAATGATTTGGTAACTCTGATAACTCAAGAAGCCAAGACACTACTTATCTCTTCTACACAGCCCTGAGTCAGTGAGACAGAATCAATTCCTTGGTGAAGCAGTTTCTTCTGAGTAAAGCTTCACTCCATATTTGGCAATGCATTTTAACAAATAAACAAGAAGCACTCAGCTAAGCAAACTGCTAAAATGTGTTTCACTGTAAGGGGCTTACTCATTTCCTTTGAGCTCTCTGCCACATATTGTTTACAGAACAGATACCTCTCAAGCATTAGGGTAAGGCTAAAAAAATGTGAGCTATGATTTTTAAAATTCTTTCTTCTACACACATGGCTGGTTAATAAATAAAGCAGTGGAATTCAGAACCAGACAATCCTGAAAAAATGTTAAATGTACCATGTGCTGAGAGTGACTTGGAAATAAACTTTTGAAAAATTTGGAAAAAGTCTTAGAACATCTGACACTCACTCTCTCACACAAAAATCCTTAACAGATGCCAACATCTTCTACAGTACAGTGTTTAAACTATGTTCTGCTTTCATCAGGAGATTTATAAACAGTGCTTTTATCATCAACAGAAATGAAGGGGCTTGTTCCTTTTAAAGAAACTAAGCTGTACTGTGGGCAACAGATTCATGAGACTTAAAGAGACAAGGATCTATTTTTAGATCTGTTTACAGTTCTCTCTCTTTAATCTCTCCTTGTTTGATCTCTCTATGCATTCATTTTTAACACTAGCAGTAGGAAAAAAATTAATCGGGTTTTTAAAAATAACCCTATTTTACTGACCACAGTGAGTTGGACAGAATGAAAAGATAGGAGGAGAGGGGAAAATACATCTGTAGCAGAGATAAAACAAGTTAAAGAGTTTGCTAAATGGAAGGATATGGAAAAAATTTACAATAGTACATACAGATGCAGAAATTTTACCCTTGTCACAGCATTTAAAGGCTTGTTAATGAATGTTGGCTTAGTGCCAGAGCTGCAACATCAGTATGTGACAGGAATAAGTCTGAGTCTCTTTCTCCCAGTAGCGAGTGGAGCACAGTTGTGTTACAGTGGCTGAGGGCTGTGATGTATAAGGAGCCTGGGAGATATTTGTTACAAGTCCCTCCTGCAGGAGGATTCCCTCTGGCTGCCTCAAAGGAGAGCGCTCACCTGCTTTGTGCAAGGCAAGCTACAGAGAGCACAAGAATAAAATATTGTTTCCTAGATCATGGCAGGGATACTCAAAGAAAGACACAGGCCAAAGCAAACACAGACACTGGAACTAGAATTTTCAGAAGGGCTCAGCACCCTCAACTGGGCCAGTTTTTCAAAAGAACTCTTCTCTCACAGAACCTAAATAAAGCCTCATTCGTAAAACCTGTACCAATAACCAATGTGCTGAGCTCTTTTAAAAACCTGGCCCTGAGAGTGGGTACTGAGTGCTTGAAAATCCATCCCTGGAACAGTATTTACATGGCCCATGCTTCCCAGACCTCAATCATTCACTGTTGGACTTAGGATCATTATAGAGAAGAATTATGCTGATATTTAACACATTTAAAAAAAGGTCACCACAAGTTAACCTTATACCTCCGCCATATTATTGGATAAAGATTCTCAGAATGTAAAAATACAAAGGCTATGAATGTGCTGCTCATTAACTTTAAACACTAATATTAGGCTGAACTATTCCATCTGAGTTTCCTTGAGGAGGAAAAGCACTTTATATCTGATTGAATTGAGGGATGAACTCCAAATATGTCTAACATGTGGATTTCCTTTGTGTTCAGAGAGTTTTTTTGCTAGGCAGCTTGGATTGTAATTATTTCATCTGGTTTTATTCATGCTTGGGGCCAGGTCCTGACTGTGCAAAAGAACCATAAAGCCAACATATTTAGGAATTTGAAGATTCCCCCTGCAGGAGGGAATCCCTACTTTGTATACAGCCAGCATAGCGGATCCACATTAACCTGACTCAGCCCTCTCCCCAGCAGCATATGAGGCATTTGGGGCATAGACGAGGAAGGTGTCATGGCAGAGTACTGTTGTGTGCTAGCAATCCAGCAGCCATTGTAAAAAGTTCCTGGGAACTGTTGCAAGCCAGCAATAGTTAGCACAGCCTCATGAATGCTTATGCCAGAGGCCTAACTGGCCTCAGAAGACTTAGGCAAATGGGAGATTGTAAAGGTGGGCTGGACTCAAGTATTAGGCCTTGGTGTCCATGTTCAGGTTTAAAACCAAGTATAGAAATTGCATACATTTCAGTCTCCAAACAAAAACTTCCTGGCTATATAGGAGCATAGGTTTTTCTATAGCTAATTACCCCATTGATTCATAATGTCTGCCTTCCTCCCCATAGAGGACAAGAACTGATGCATCAGACAGATGTGAAGCCCTCATGTACAATTCACATAATTCTAAATTCTGGTCTCTGTTGCACCAATCTGACTTCGGCGGTGTTACTCTGATTTACACCAACATAAAGCAGAACTTGGCCCTTCGTGAATTGTGTAAAAATATATGTTCCCTCCTGACCCCTACAATCAGCTTATTCCCTGATGCCTTGAGATTTAATTTCTGTTGCTGGTTATAGCTAAGAATATTTATAACTTACTATAAAATTACCTATCCCTTCAAAAGAAAAAAATCCATCCATAGTATTTAAATTCAGGTTTCAGAGTAACAGCCGTGTTAGTCTGTATTTGCAAAAAGAAAAGGAGTACTTGTGGGATAGTGAGTTTGTGTGTGTGTTTTTTGGAGGGGGGTGAGGGGGTGAGAGAACCTGGATTTGTGCAGGAAATGGCCCAACTTGATTATCATGCACATTGTGTAGAGAGAAAAGGAGTACTTGTGGCACCTTAGAGACTAACCAATTTATTTGAGCATGAGCTTTCGTGAGCTACAGCTGAAAGCTCATGCTCAAATAAATTGGTTAGTCTCTAAGGTGCCACAAGTACTCCTTTTCTTTTTGCGAATACAGACTAACACGGCTGTTACTCTGAAACCTGTCATTATGCAAGGCACTGCATTTAGCCGTATGGAGTGGAAATCTATCAACTGCATGAAGATCCGATGAAGTGAGCTGTAGCTCACGCTCAAATAAATTGGTTAGTCTCTAAGGTGCCACAAGTACTCCTTTTCTTTTTGCGAATACAGACTAACACGGCTGTTACTCTGAAATTGTGTAGAGAGGTGTCACTTTGGATGGGCTATTACCAGCAGGAGAGTGAGTTTGTGTGTGGGGGGGTGGAAGGTGAGAAAACCTGGATTTGTGCTGGAAATGGCCCAATTTGATGATCATTTTAGATAAGCTATTACCAGCCCGACAGTGGGGTGGGAGGAGGTATTGTTTCATGTTCTGTGTGTGTATATAAAGTCTGCTGTAGTATTTAAATTGAGATTCTCCTGTGATTCCACAGGTTGATTATAGGCTGCGAGATTTCCTTTTATTTGTTCTAAATTTACTGAGCATTAATTTTATATGCTGATTTTTGTAGGATAATTTGGGAAGTGAAAGAAGGTGATATGGAATATGTTTCCAGAAAAAAAAATAATAAAAAAGTATTACAGTATCCATTCTTTGTCTGCACATTGCCATTTTCCTAACCAGTAGAAAATTGTGTGAATCTATGGAAGCCAAAGCATTAAACTGTAAATCCTATATAGATGACAGTGTTTCCTGTTTCTTCTTCACTGTAGATTTTCTAATCAGATTTTTTTCTTAGACATCAAAACAGAAGAACCTACTATTCAGCAAAAAGAAAAAGGAAATTAGCTATTTAGTGAAAAAGATGTAGACATACCAAAGGAAAATATTTTTGTATGCTTTTTATAGCAATGAAAAAACAGTCAAAAAGAGCAATTTCCCTAAAACCTATTTTTTACCATAAGTAAATTTTGTGAGATCTTCCACAGTCTGCAGCCATTCTGTTGATTTGGGGCCATATTGATAAAACTGGCAAAAGGACAAAATTGATAGAAGCATCTTTTTGGCTGTTTAAAATATTTTATTTTGTTGATGGAGAGAGAAGGAGAGAAGTCAGAAGGAAACACCTACATATAAACACACATGTACTAAAAAAATACTAGTGATGGGCCCAAGCCAAACCCCTAGTCTCGTCCCCCATCCCTAGAGCTAACCTTCCATTTCTGGATGGACCTGTGAAAATAATTTTTGACTACTCCAAGCAGAAGGATAACTGAATCTAGACACCAGGATCTCACCACTATATACAAGGCTGGCCTGTGGTGGGAGACGTTTAGCAAGTTTATTTGATAGTTAATACCTCAAATTAACTGATTTTTTTTAAAAGTCTGTGTATTGAAGGATCTACATCTATTTTGAAAACTTTTGTTTACTGAAACCCCAATTTTCAGTAAGAAAAGATGGGTTTGGGTAAATTAAAAAAGTTACTAACTATTTAAAAACCATTTTGATACAAATTTGGTTAAATGTGTTAGAATATTGTGGAAAATGTTGTTGAAAATGCACACTTTTGATAGTGTCTACTTCTTTTATATAGAGTTTTTGGGGAAAGGGGCATTTTTTTTAAAGAAATAACTTTGCGCCAGAAATTTTGGCCAGCTCTAATTAGAGACCACATTCTACTTCCTCTCAATCCTGGGCTTAGCCCAGCAGCCCCTGGTGCATCTCACATTGCGGAGATGTCTTACTTGCGGTCAGGCTACCCTGTAGAGGAACAAGCACAGATGCAGGCAGCTGGCTGGGAGGGAACTTGTGGCAGCGGGCCCCTCTCTAATACAGACTACATTCAGTAACACTGTGAACAAGATAAAACAAACTTCTGATATTCTGAAGGGAAAAAAGAACAGCATATGCACATCACTTTCTCCAAGCGTTTATTAGCCATAATGATCTAGCTAGAAATATAGACCACACTGTTTCAAATTCCTTTCTTGTCTTTTAGACAATAAGAAATCCTTTTTCAACTGGCCAATCTACTCCTCCTGGCATAGGAGGCTTCAATATTCAAGCCTTCAGCTGACTTCATTTTGTTCCTGTATATTTATTTTGGCAATTACCAGTGCTCATAAACTGT